TAANATATATATATATATATATATATATATATATATATATATATATATATATATATATATATATGTATGTATATATATATATATTACCTATTCGACTCTAGTTCTGCGGGTGGCAGCGGCGGAGTGTCTGGGAAGCCTTTGCAGGGTGGTATCTTCCATGGTAGATACGGGTTGGGTGTTCCATACCCCACAGAAGTGGGCTCTGCTAACAACGGTGACAATTTGGAATACGGGCCCTGTTTGAGTATTTAGGACACAGGTGTGGGGAACAAATAAAGAGCGAGTCGATGGTAGAGTGTAGCTTTATATAGCGCCACTAAGTCCTGGATGGCCCTTAGGGTTTAGGGTTTGGCCTACCTACTGCAATGAGCTGGATCCAACCGTGGACAGTTTGGCTTGTATTGTATCAATGGCAAATACTGTGTATGGCCACTGGCGAGTCCTCCTGATAATAGCCTGTATATACCAATAGTAAGTCCTCCTAATAATAGCCTGTATATACCAATAGTAAGTCCTCCTGATAATAGCCGGTGAATACCAATAGTAAGTCCTCCTGATAATAGCCTGTATATACCAATAGTAAGTCCTCCTGATAATAGCCTGTATATACCAATAGTAAGTCCTCCTGATAATATCCTGTATATACCAATAGTAAGTCCTCCTGATAATAGCCTGTATATACCAATAGTAAGTCCTCCTGATAATAGCCTGTATATACCAATAGTAAGTCCTCCTGATAATAGCCTGTGTATACCAATAGTAAGTCCTGCTGATAAGTGGTATATAGAAAGTCATACCTTGCGCTCCCATATAGCCAGCGCGGTGGCGTGGTCGTATGGTGCTGTGGATAGCATGTGTGTCTTGTTCAGCATGCCTGTGGAGAAGAGCATGTCAATACGCACACCTTCCGGTGTCAAAGCGGGATAAAACGTGATATTCTCCTTCTCGTCGTTGCCTAGGACATATGCACCTGAAAGCGAGTTGCCGAGGATATAGCCCACACCTCCATATTTGGTGTACTTGTTGCGGGTCTCGTCTTTTGATTCCGAATGAGCGGGTGCAAACACTTTTCTGTAGTACATAGAGACATGTATCTATTCAGAAATGACGTCAAGTAAAAGCTCGAGTATATTTATCAGCGGGTTATACTTAAATACTATGCTATGGTAACAATGAGGATAAAAAAGTAAATAGAAATACATACACACACATATATATATATATGTATATATATATATATATATATGTATGTTTATATGTATATATATACATACATTTTCTTTACTGTATATATATACATATATAAAGTCGCTTTGGCGCACTCGAAAGATTTCATCGCAAACCCTTAATTAGCCAGCACATTAGAGCATAATACGATCTCTAAACCATGTACGTTAAGTGTAATGAATCAGTCGAAGTTGTGTAAAGACTGGCGATATCCCACGCAGCCAAACGGCTCGTCGTAGCGCAGACACATGACAAGCACAGTACGCATTAGAAGCAGATTCACATATGCTTACACATCAACACATAGATAAGAGATACGCACATATAGATAGGCGCATACACAGGTACCTGTGTAGGTCAACGAAAAACGCGCTGGATCGTTCCCACGTCATAGAGCGTGTGAAGTCGTCTGTGAACTCTTTCTGGTGCGGTTTAATCTCCTCCGTATATCCCAACAGGCGTTCATCTACCACCTCAAAATCGGGTGTCACATAGGTTTGTACCGGTACAAAAACACCAGGAACCAGGTTGGTCGCTTTGAGGTCGGACACAGGGTTGTAGGACATGTGTTTGCTCACGTGGGGCGAATCGCCGGGATAGAATTTAGATGTGCCGTCCGCTAATAATTCCGGTCTGTGGGGCGAAACGTTAAGGCACGAGTGCGGAGATAAGTTTATGTTAGTTTTCAACTCATTGAGTTATACTGTCTAATTTCAATATGCAAAGAAAATGGTTTATACTTTCTTTTTTAAATCCATACTAGCTTTCAATTATTCTGGTTGTACTTTCTGATTTGATTGACATTCATATTAGCTTTCAACTAATTGTGCTATACTTTCTGATTTAAAACCATATTAGTTCTACTTTGTATTTGGAACTCGTGGCCATTACTGACGTGTGTGGGATCAGTATTGGAAAGAAATTGAGACTGCCTTTGAGTGTCGTTGAGTGTCTTCAACTGACAACACATGTTCTGCAGGACCCACTTAACAGCGGATAGTGCAACATGTATAATTTCGAGAACAATCTAGTTTCAATACTTCCCAATTGTCGAATACAGACGGACAGTCATGTATTCGC